TAGCCAAGACAATAATTGTTGCAGTAAAAATACTTGGAACCTACTTGTTTATTTGAAAGAGCCTCAGAGAACAGACCTGTTCACTTAACCATAGTAGTACTACTGCAGACGACTATATAAGACAATCCATTATACATTCATTATCTTGTGTTTAGCTGCATAGCAATTAGGCAAAAGTCAGCAATGTCTTGAAGGCTCTGCAACAGACGCTTCAGTTAAAAATAATTGTGCAGCCGACGGCACTTATTTGCTGCGGTGAGAACATTCAACTATAAAGTCAAGTTGAGCCTAATTCTGACACTAGTATCAATGAATATTGGATATAACGGGAGAGACTGGTCCCTTTTGTATGTCTTCTACAACGAAACAAACTGCTTCCTACAATGTCCCCATGCTGAATTACCTGTTTGAGCAATGAAACCTGGTCGTTAGGAGTATGAATGGGAATGAATACAAATGTGAATAGACGGAAAGGGAAAGAAGTCATATTATCGCAGGAAAAGCAAAGCACTGATAATCACGGCAAAGTCAAATTCATAGTTATAACCACACAAAATCGGCATGAACAGTCAAACAGTGTCATGCCGCATGCACAGGCAAACGCAAACACATGCCAGTTGCTTGAACGACACATACAGTTTACATACAGTTTCCAGGATGCCCTGTGTTAGGCGATAGTTTCTTGGTCTTCATGCTAAGGGTTCCAGCGTTTTATAAAGCTGTGTTTTTCGAATAGACTTGTCACTAGTCAGTAAAGTGTCATCTTGTTTTCCGTCTTTTTTTTTTTATAAGTGTTTTCGGGCCTCTCCACTCCTTCCACCATCTCGCGCGCTTTCACTTGTACATAGAACATACAATGCACACAGCGCTGTTATCTAATTTCGACTTCGTATGAAACTGCATGATGACAGGGCTGCAGAGGACAAAGACTTGCAAAGAGTGTTCATGCACAGTCGAACACGGTTATATCGAACCCACATATATATTGAATTTTCAGGTATATCGAACTCGCAAGTTATCCCCTTGAAATTCCTTTGTAAAAATATAGATAATCACACGTTTATATCGAACGGTATTTTTACCCACTTTTGGATATACCGAAGTCCACGCAAGCTAGAAGGTGCGCTTTCGCCTTTTATTTTTTGTTGCTGTTTTGCAAGTTTTGATTAACCAACCATAGCTTGGGCTTTTTGCTGTTGCCCTCGCAAGTGGCCATCGCCTCGCGAGCACTTTGTTGCTTCCGTTGTCGCGTTGCCTACGTACCACCGCGTGTGCAGCATTTATCTTTTGCGTGTGTGGTATGCAAAGCCACTGAGCTTGAATTTTCGTCTTCTCGTGTAGCTATGGCCAGAGTCAAGAAGCACAAGACCCTTGACTTTGCGACGAACTTGAAGGCTATTCAGGGTGTTGAGGCATGCGAGAAATGTTTGGCCGTCGCGGATGACTTTGGAATACCACGGAGCGCTCCGAGTATCTTGTTGAAAAACAAAGCAGATATCAGGGCAGATGTGGTGGTGCAGCGACATTGGGAGCCTGTCATGTGCGCACTTCTGCCCACCGATATGTAGAAAAGGCACTCTATGCCTGGCTTTTAGAAGTGCGTGTGAAGCTCATCAAGGCCAAATGGTTTGCTCCTGCACTCGGTGAAACAATTTTGCCAACAATGGTGGGTGGCTTCACCCATGTAAGCAGTGCTAGAACATCGTTGGAAAAGCCAATTTTGGCGAAAGCGAAGCTTTCAGCAGCCAGGTCATCCAGCAGTAGATGACAAAGAAGTGGCCGGAAATCTCCGTGAAGTTTTCTTTTGTCCTCTATTTTTTTATATCGAATTTTTCATATATTGAACTAATTTGTGATCCCCTTCAAGTTCAATATATCTGCGTTCGACTGCACAATAAACAATGTTTAAAATAATGTCCAAAGAAAGAAGGGGCATGCAATAAATACAGCTGCACACGGTTTGGACAACAAGACAAGCTTCAAAGAGAGCTAACTTCATTACACAATGAGTAGACATGGTTGGTGGCTCCCTGCATTAAAAAAGCCAGCCACCACTTGAAGCATGCTTGAAGAGCACATGCAGTAGCTGCTACACTCAAAGAAGTACACCAAGAAAAGCTCTGCATCCGCACAGTAGAAGGCTGCACATCCACATATTAAACAAGACGAGGGCCTCTTATTGAGCTATGAAAGTAGAGGGGGCTGGTTTGTCAGCATACAATCTTTCGCACCATAATCATAAAACATAAAGAAAGCAACATATTGCAACGTATTCTGTTGCTTTCATAAAGAAAGCAACAGAATACCAATCAAGAAGGGTCTAAGGCAGGGGGGCACAATCTCCCCAATGCTATTTACCACATGCTTACAGGAGGTTTTCAGAAGCCTAGAATGGGAACAGTTAGGGATAAGAGTTAATGGAGAATACCTCAGTAACCTGCGCTTCGCCGATGACATTGCATTGCTGAGTAACTCAGGGGACGAATTGCAACTTATGATTACGGAGTTAGACAAGGAGAGCAGAAAGGTGGGTCTTAAAATTAATCTGCAGCAAACGAAAGTAATGTACAACAACCTCGGAAAGGAGCAGCGCGAGATAGGTAATAGTGCACTTGAAGTTGTAAAAGACTATGTCTACTTAGGGCAGGTAATAACCGCAGAGACGAACCACGAGATTGAAGTAACTAGAAGAATAAGAATGGGGTGGAGCACATTCGGCAAGCACTCTCAAATAATGACAGGTAGATTGCCACTATCCCTCAAGAGGAAGGTATATAACAGCTGTATCTTGCCGGTACTTAGCTACGGAGCAGAAACCTGGAGACTCACAGAGGGTTCAGCTTAAATTGAGGACGACGCAGCGAGCAATGGAAAGAAAAATGGTAGGTGTAACCTTAAGAGACAAGAAGAGAGCAGAGTGGATTAGGGAACAAACGGGGGTTAAGGATATCATAGCTGAAATCAAGAAGAAGAAATGGACATGGGCAGGGCAGCGCGTAGACAGGATAACCGCTGGTCATTAAGGGTAACTGACTGGATTCCCAGAGAAGGGAAGCGGGTTAGGGGGAGACAGAAGGTTAGGTGGGCAGATGAGATTAAGAAGTTTGCGGGTATAAATTGGAAGCAGCAAGCACAGGACCGGGTTAACTGGCGGAACATGGGAGAGGCCTTTGTCCTGCAGTGAACGTATTCAGGCTGATGATGATGATGATGGTCAACAGGCGTAGAGGACCAGAAATGGAAACACATGAGTAGCGAGATATCATCCGATTTAAATGTAAACACAACCAAGCTGGGCATAGGTATATGTGTGATATAACACCAAGCATTGTGGAACAGAACAGAGGCATGTGGGCACTTGGCACGTGCCTTCTGTGATACAGCTGCTACTCAAGTTTGGCTGGGCTCGCTCCAACAGCAGCAATTCTAAAGAAGCAGTACTACAGCACCATTAAATGCAGTGAACTTCCGGCCAATTTGATATGCCTCTTATGGCTTTGAAGAATGTTCATGTGACCCCAACATTCTGATTTAAAACGGCAAGTGCAGCTGCTTAATAGCAGGCAAGAAGTGAAAGCTTGCAGTGTGGTCAAGTGAGCAGCACATCTTGCAGCCCCAATGCAAAGGACAGCAGTCGAGATCAGCTTGGGAGCTGGCAGGTCAACAAAGCCACAAGTGATGAACTCTCTAACAGGAAAAAGTAGCCACTTACAGCAGGCAGGCATCAGAATTTCCAGCTGCATACCTGCCAAGTTCAGGGATTCTGAAGCACACCGATTTCTGCAATGGTGGGGAGGAGAGGGGGTCGCACTGAATTATTTGCCCTTATTTTTTTAAACCAAAAGAAAACAAAGAAAAAAATCACGAAAAAAAATACGAGGGGGAGAGGGACTTAATCACAAGCACAAAGATCGGCATTGCGGTCTCATAATGGCTTGGAGTGGCTGAACACACGAGGGTAGGGTTTACCACTAAGGTGAGAGTCTCAAAGTGGGAGCGCAAATACTCCCGAAATTTCGCATCATCAAAACAACAAGCAAAATATTGCACCGGGGCAAGATATAGATTTAATGCTAACGTCCAGACAGAATCGGCAGCCAAACAAGATGGCTGAGTCGCCTGAGCCATCGCTCGAGCACTACCAATAGCTTGTTAGCAGTGCTCGAGTGATGACAAAGCATGTGGCGTAATCCGTGGCGACTGAAACCCATTTGTAGATCGTAGATAGCTCATAGATTGCTATCGCGTTGCCGTGGCCGCGCTTTTTGTGTGTGTGTGCATGACGGTCGCAGCAAATGGTAGCTCTGTTTTCAATTTGCCTGCGTTGCCTGCGCACGTGACTTTAAAATTAAGTCGCTTTATGCTATCTATGATCGCACCTGCCGCGTTTTTGTCCACAGAGTTCGCAGACAGCAGCATCGCTTTGACAGGTCGAGCGTTAAACGCGCACACACCTTCGGAGTTCTGTAAGTTACGTCGTCGCCATAAATTATCGTGTCAAGAACAACCGCGGTTTCGTCCACAATGGTTGTGGCAACTACAACTACACAGTCTGTAAAGGACAGTGCATGCGCTGATCGCAGGTGTACTTCTGAAGCTTCAAGCACGCTGCTCTCAGCCTTCGACGGTTCAGTACTAAGTTCATATCCCCCGCCGGAATTAGCAAAAGTGTTCAGAACATTCCAATTTTGGCCCAATGGACACAGTGGAATTTCACGAACTCGTATCTGCCGCAGTTTCATTAATTGATATGTGGGGTTTAACGTTCCAAAACCACCATACGACTATGAGAGATGCCGTTGTGAAGGGCTTTGGAAATTTCAACCACCTGGGGTTCTTTAACGTGCAATCAAATCTGAGCAGACGGCCCTACAACATTTCCACCTCCATCAGAAATGCAGCCGCCGCAGCCGGGATTCAATCCCGCGACCTGCAGGTCAGCATCCGAGTACCTTAGCCATTAGACCACCACGACGGGGCCTGCCACAGTTTCGCATCTACTATTTTGCGGTGGTGTTTCAGTGCCGCCATACTGGGCTCTTAACCTTTGCATTTTTGTTTCATGGCCACGTCGCAATATACACAACAAGAAAAAACTTAAGACTCAACAGCCCAAGATGGCGGCGTCCATATGCCTTAGGTAAAATAGTAAAATGCGGTGGGTTTGCAAAAAGCCTGGAGCAGATTGACCTATATTTTTTTTCAGTGCGACCACATAACACACAGAAATTTCGATTTCTGATAGATTTTCACGACAACCGTCCAAACAAAAGAAATGGTCGAAATCCGGGAGTCTTCCAGACAATCTGGGGGACTTGGCAGGTATGCACTGTATTACTATATACAAGAATTCTATCCCGATGACAGACATTCCATTAAGAACAGGACATGGGCCATCACCACTGGTGAAAGAACAGTGACAGTAGCTGTGCGCACTACTCTCCTTGTGCACACTATACACCAGAGTGCGTGGCACTTGTGGTGCCTTTATATATTGACGTCAAGTGCCAAACTACAGTGATGCACAAACAGGGCATCCTAAAAAATTCAATTATAAACTATGCAAGATAATTGCTAACAGTCACAGCATCAGACTGTATATTTTTCACTAATAATGTAGGCCCTGAATGTACACTACTACTTCACTGTCCTTACGGAACAAGGTATGTGGCCCCTGTATGAGCAAATGTGTGTGATTAAGTGATTTTAAAATGGTTGTATGTATAAGACTAAATATACCAATGTACAATAGAAAACGTAAAACAAACAAACATATAACAAATAATTTCCAGATGTACACTGTTTCAAATGAAAATTCTAACGTGTACTTGGATATTATTTTACAAGTCAATGTGATGTAACACAACTCAGAAAACAGTTGCCTGAATGAAGGTGTCGATGAGTTTCTTTACCAGCCATCAATTGTTTTATTTCTAAGTGATAAGTGTTAGAAGCATACAGAATGTTTACAGCCTTTTTTTCCTCAACGTAATTTATCCACAAAAGTGGAGCCACGTTCTCCTTGGGTCGGTGATGTACAATTATGAAAATCAGCTCTTTGTCCCAGGGCTCTGTTTGATCTAGCTGGCACGAGTTCCAGCTACTCTTTGTTGACCAGTAGTTCACTCATCGAGACAAACTTCATTTACAAAAGACAAGTCAATTCCCTTTCATGACATAGAAAAAGAAATGGCTTCCTCTCACAGGCACAATGTTAGACAAGACTTGAGCACACTGACTGCTTTTTCCAATGCAACAAAACAAGTGTCAGTAAAGAGCTCCAACAGAATAAAGACTTAGGCCAAAATGTATCATACAGTTTGGCGATAGATGGTGTCCACAGTCAAGATCTCCATCAAGCTCTAGGTGCACATGACACTTTGAAACAACAATAAAGATCAAGAGGGGGTGGAGGGAACAGGGGATGAAGAAAGAAAAAAAAATATATTGAACTGGTATAACAGAAAAATACCACTACTGCTGAGAATGTAAGAATGTCGCAGAGTGAGAATTCCATTTAACATCGGTGAAATTTTATGATTATCTGATATTTGCTATAATGTGAATGAACAAGAATATTGGTTTGAAATGGGTAGAATTGCACAGGAATAGATTGACAGAGGTGAAGAGGGAAAAAAAAGATACAGGGAAAAAAATTATATGAGTGCAGTCTACAAAGTGTATTTCATTCATTCAGCTAGGTCAGACACTTCACCAAATGCGAAAAGTGTAATCAAACAATTAGAAAGAAATTATGCAGGGTTGAAACAGAGCAGTCAGGAAGGCAGGTTTGAACAAGCAGGTTGGCAATATACACCTCACTACTTGGGACAGGGAACCAATGGGTGTAGCTCAAGCTCACACAGGTGAAGAATGGCCACAAGGTATTCGATCGGGCATTGACGGTGAACAATTCCATCTTATTGGTGTCAGGCCTTTGAAAGCATGTATGAGTAAGGTGTAATGACAGCACTGACACCACCGGGAGGTCCAATCTTTCTTTCACTTCTAGGTTGCTACTATTCCTTTGACTTATCAGAAATTAAAAGTGGGGGGGGGGGGGGGGGAGCAGGAAAAAAAAAAAAGATCTGGACACCCCACCTGGTACAGTGCAACACTATTCAATATATTTCATGGTGGCCTCAAATATGTTAACAATAAGCTTCAAATGCGAAGCAAAAAAAAATCAAATAGCCAAATAGTAACTTTTCTAAATCAACAGAGCAATCAAGGTCTTGCAGAAGCTATGCCCCTGCATCACTTGAAGCACAACAAAAAAAAAAAAAAAAAAAAAAACAATCTACAGCCGTTTCGGTCTGGGTGAGCAGGGAGAAAAAAAAAAAAGCGAAGTAGCACTCACACATCATGGTGACCTCGGACATAAACAAGTTCATGGGAAAAGAGTGTAAGGGGCCAGGGAGAAATGACTGAGGTCACGCCATCCTTATGTGTGTCTCACTCTGACGAAGAGCTTGGCTGCCAACCGAAAGATTCACCAATGTTTTTTTTTTTTTTTTTAATGCTGCATCTGTTTCAGCAGCAGTATAAAAGGCGCCCTCACGCTATCAGCTATAACTGCATACAAACTATCATGTGTGTAGTTGGAGCAGCGGTGGTGGTGGTGGTGGTAGTAGTGGCTTGTGAAAGCTCATTATGCGTTTCTTGTAGCATCATGCGTCCAGGTACGCTGAAACTCGACTCTGCAAGAAAAAAAGAAGGATTGAAAGCCCGAACCGAGGATAAATATGCTGAGCTTTTGGTTGATTCACATCAGTGCAGAAAAGAAAGAAAAAGCCGTATTCAGGGTGAAAATTAGGGGTGAAGTTTTATACACAGAGAAAAAGACACATTTTTAAAAGTTAACATTTTCAGTGGTACTTGCTTCTATCCGACAACGATAGGCACTTGTACTGGGAGAAAAAGAAAGGGTGCTTTGTAACTTCCATGTGGTTGCAAGAACGTTATGTCCCCTCTTTGTGACTGATATGACAATGCTATAAGCTTAGACATATTTCTAAAAAAAGAAAAAGAAAATATCTTAAGGGATACTCTGAAGCAAGGTAGGAAAAAACACATATAGGACAAAGATAACGTTGAAAAGCCGGGTGAAGCAACAAAAGTCCACAATTAGTAGCCAATACCTAGAAATAAGGGTGAGCTGGAGAGCAAACAGCAGCCATTCACAGATCTTCACCAGCAACCAACAGCAGCTTCAGAAGTGTGTACAATCACTGCATATTGACAGTACTAACACATGGGGCATAAATCTCCAGGATATCAAGAAAACCAAGACAGAACTTGGATTAGACAGCATGCAATGGAAGGGAGAAAATGAAGTGTAACATGAAGAGACAGGAAGAGAACAGAGTAAGTCATAGCACACACAGCGATAGTCAATAGAGATGCACGCAAAATATTTGGATCATCCCGAACTCATATGAACCAAAAACTAATTAAAGCTGATCATGAAGATTTTGATCATGAAGTTTTGATTGATAAGTGAAGTTTAACGACCCAAGACCACCACATTATTACGAGAGACGCCTTAGTGCTGCAGAGCACTGTAACTAATACCCTAAACTGGTGCGACTACTGGCTCATGGTTCTTAACCCCAGTAAATATAAAGCTATGTCCTTCACCCATTCACATAGCCCTCTCCTCTACGAGTACGAAATTTCTAACACTCGGATTGAAACTGTTAGTTGTTAAAAATATCTCAGTGTCACTATCTCTGAAGATCTTGACTGGTTTCCCCATGCGTCCAACATAATTTCATCCAGTAACAAAACTTAGGCTTTCTAAGACGTAATTTACAAAATGCCCCTCTCATGTTAAACTCATTGCCTACAAGTCCCTAATTCGCCCAAAACTTCAATTGCCATCTGCAATCTGAAACCCTCACCAAAGCTATCTCCCAGATGCTCTAGAGTGGTGCACAACCGCGCCATCAGGTTCATTCGCTCATCATATTCATACAACGTGTACTACAGACTGAAACAGGCTTGTCACCTCAGGGCATGGTCTAGTGGCTAAGGTACTCAGCTGCTGACCCGTAGGACGCGGGATGAAATCCCGGCTGTGGCGGCTGCATTTCCGATGGAGGCAGAAATGCTGTAGGCCCGTGTGCTGAGATTTGGTTGCACGTTAGAGAACCCCAGGTGGTCAAAATTTCCAGAGCCCTCCACTACGGTGTCTCTCATAATCATATGGTGGTTTTGGGACGTTAAACCCCACATATCAATCAATCGAAACAGGCCTGTCCACCCAAAGCCTGTCGCCGTCGCATTGCCAGCCTATCTTTTCTACACAAAATGTAGCATAGTTGACGTAATCAGATACCTTATTTCTCACCACCACCCCGTATTACCTCATACAACCCATTTTTTAGGTGTTGTCCGGCCTAATACCTGCACTCTCACGTTCTCGTCTTCCTTTTCCCACGCACCATTGTAGACTGGAACAGCCATCCCTACGCCATCGTTGCCATCACCAACCCAGAAGCATTCACTGAAGCTGTACATGCTCATTTCTCATCCCGATGGGTCCAGTGTCATTAATTCTTGTACTTCACCCCTTATGTAATGATCCCACGTGAAGACTTAAAGGAAATCAAGTGAAGTGAAGTAGTGGAGGACTCCGGAAATTTCGATCACCTGTGATTCTTTTACGTGCACCCAAATGTGAGCACACGGGCCTACAGCACTTTCACCTTTATCGAAAATGCAGTTGCCGCAACTGGGATTCGATACCGTGACCTACGGGTCAGCAGCCGAGTACCTTAGCCACTAGACCACCGCGGCAGGGCAATTACCACATCCTTATCCTACAAAGGCCCTGAAACACTTTTTCAAGTAACCATGGATTGAATTTACTGAAAGAGCTTATTGCCTCACGAATTCAAAGCTGCAAAAATTTTAAAGGGGTACTAACACCTTTTCTGAAGCCAGTTTTACTCTGCCATCCAAATCTCCTTTATACAGAGACTGCTCTGAGCAAGTTTGATGGTCAGCGAATGCTGATTAGATATTTTATTTTGATATTTAAGCCAAATTTCTCGCGGTGCGCCCACAGACGACACTAATTTGACGTCAGACTACAGTACTAATCCTGGTGACTTCAGGCAGCAGTCTGGCAAGTTGTGATGACATCAGCACCAAAACACAAGAAATTGCAGCTTGCGAGTTGCTGTCTTGATCATCCGCTCGCACCGTGCGGTCCCTAGGGGCTTTTAGCTAGTAAGTATACTTTTTTACATTATTGTGTTACCAGATACAGAGTAGAATCTCTGCATACGCCGGTCTTAACGGAATGTAAACCTTTACGTAACATAAGTTACCCACTGGGTAGGCTTTACGTCTATGGCCCTATCTCACAAATTCAGTTTCACTCGTAGGAACTCGCAATATCCACATTGCGGAGCCTCCAGTTGTCGAGTCCAAATAAGCTGAAGTGAGAGTGCCAATAGCGATGACATTGTTTCAGCCAGATTATACTAAAGCTAGAATGGCCTAGAACATCAAAATCATAAACATGTGAGCACCCGACAGCTGGATAGGTGGTGCCATCTAGCAGGGCCAAAAATAAATCGGGAAACGACAAAATTGTTGTTGCAGAAACATTGTGCACAGTACGTCTGGCATAAAAACTGCCCAGCGGCATTATTAGGAATGGGTTACTATTTTTAATCGTTTACAGCTAAAAAACATTATGTGTAAGCTAATCTATATATATATGCTGAATGTCACTGTGGTTGCACAAAATGTCACCAGATGCCACCACCATTGTGGCAATAACCTTGCATTTCTTTACTCTTTTGCGCATACGAGGATAATGTACACCAGTGGTTCTCAAATGGGGGTCCGTGGACCCTAGGGAGTGTGCGAAGCCATTTCTATGATCTGGGAAACCCTCACCCACATTTTTCTTTAAATGTGACAGCGCCACGTATTGATGAACTGTCCAAAATAAAGTGATGTGGCACGTTTGTTTGATGTTTTTGGTAGCAATAAAAGGCACCTGTTTCACGCTCCAGTTGTGGTAATATACCTACATATCCCGCCCCCCTCCCTCCTCTTCGCTGCAAGGGGTCCCCCATCACTTCCACTAGTCTACAAGGGGTCCCCGACACATCCATGGCTGAGAACCACTGCTGTACACAATAAAGAAACTTCTCCTAATTTTGCCGGAGTGACGATTCAATCCTATCAGAGTTAAGGATAGTTTATATTGAGTTAGCATCCCCATTTATGATGTGCGAAAATGTAAAGGCATACATTTGCGTATGTCCGTAAACGTTTACGTATGGGGAGCTAAAACATTAAAAAACATGCGTTCCGGTAAGACAGTAAACGCAAACCAGTATCCAGTAACACGGTATCCAGTATCACGTTAACGTAAATAAGTTTACGTGCAAGTTAAAAGCACTTACTGTTATCCAGCATACCTACAAAGCGGGCTAGTGAAGTTTGGAATAGTGTACGTGCATGCGAATACGAGACATACGCTTATCAGAGGGAAGATTAATCATTTGATTTCGAGTTTTTTGTCGAGACACTAATTATTTGCCCTGTAAATTGTCTTGCGCGAGTGAAACGAAGAACAATATGTGCAAATTCTACCGATTCCAGCCGGATCCGACGCTGAGACAAGCAGAGGCCGAGGTTTTGATTGATTGATTGATTGATTTGTGGGGTTTAACGTCCCAAAACCACTATATGATTATGAGAGACGCCGTAGTGGAGGGCTCCGGAAATTTCGACCACCTGGGGTTCTTTAACGTGCGCCCAAATCTGAGCACACGGGCCTACAACATTTCCGCCTCCATCGGAAATGCAGCCGCCGCAGCCGGGAATCGAACCCGTGACTTGCGGGTCAGCAGCTGAGTACCTTAGCCACTAGACCACCGCGGCGGGGCAGAGGCCGAGGTGGAAACTGAACTCCAACCAAACGAAGTTTACTACGTTTGCTGCAATTTACTCCGAACACATACATGCGCAGAATCCAGCTGTGTGAACTATGGAAATCACAAAAAGGTAAAAAAAAGAGACTAAATAGAACAAAATTGCTCGAGCTCGAACTCCATGCTCTATTTTTTTAATTTTATTTGAAAGCATAATTTGTTTCTTATGTAAATAAAAACACAACCCATATTAAAAATACAAACTGGAAACCATGGCCTGATATGTGTCACCCATTGAGATTTTTAAGGATTTACACCACTGAGTAGCATACTACGATGATAGTGTATACAGCTTGCTTTTGGTTTTGCTTAGGCTCATGGGACCACCCTGTGAGCTTTCATTCTTCATAGTTTGCCAGCATCCTTTCGGAGCAGGTTTGGAGCAGTTACTAGTAAATATTGCACTTTGAAGCACCATAGAGCAGCATTCCTTTTTTGGAGCAGTTTGGAGCAATTGGAACAGCACTTCAATCACTGTAAATGCTGCTGCACTGTAGACCGGTAGACAAGGCCAACATCCAGAGAATTGCCACTAATCAGGTCCTTATCCCGAAGGTGTGTCACATTATGGCTTCAATGCAGTGCACAAGATGTGCATAGTAGGCACACAAGTGAAGCCTCAGCGACAAGGTAAGTATGGCATATATCATGGTTTCTGCAAATGACAAGTGTCATGAGATCCATTCCAAGAAGAAAAAATATCTTATCCAGAAAACCAGCAGTATAACAGTTAAAGAAAAAAAGAAAACTGTATTGCCAATGAAAAAGTATCATTAAAAGTGCCTGCTTAGATAGTGCACTAAATAATCGCCACCACTCACTATGGTGATGCCCTATCATACTCAATAACTATTAAAAATTTGAGCACCAAGTGACATTCTCCTTTCAATTCCAAGGACTCTGGACACTGATGACTAGCAGTTTCTAATTTCCCGAAAAAGCCTTCTAGCAAATTAATCTGGTACAATATAACCTTGAACGAAGGAGTGGGGTCAGAGATCAATCCAAAGATATTGCGTGTGTGTGTGTGTAGGGGGGGGGGAGGTGCATTTTTTCAAGACAGCCTTGACAAAAACGAGTACGCTTGTCGAAACAATTGCTTTTAGCGACAGCATGTGTTCATAAATTTGATTTTTCCATAACATTCTGTCAAGGTGCAATTCGTGAATATCAGTCCCTGTGCTATTAAATGGGGGGAGATAATTGGCATTACGGAAACAGGGCAGATGACAAAGGAAAACAGACTAGTTGTGTGGGAGATGGTGTTTTTTTTGGGAAAGGGGGGGGGTCAATGTGCAATTTGCAAAAAAAAAAAAACGGTGGACATGCTAGGCACACTTGCAAGCGTACTTCTCAACAAGAGGGGGGGAATCAGTAGGGAAGACTTGTAAGCCAGAAGACTTCTGTGACCTTTCTCGTTTTTCGACAATAATGACTGTACTAACGGGCACTTTAGGGCATTAGAGATATTTTTATTTGCGTCTGATTGGAGTGTCCAATTTCTATGTGTGCTGGCTTGCCAACACATTACGTCAGTTATGCAATCAAGACACGTGACGGGAAGTTCAGACGTGCACGACCAGCAGTAGCACCACATCGTGCCAGAAGCACTCTACGTGGGCATTTAGGCCTAGCTTTATGATAGGCACACGGACTATTGTTATGCAGTGTGATTCAGAGGCACCTACTTTTCTTCAGAAACATGACTTTTACACCAACGAATCTTTATTTACGTGAAGACCCGTTTACGGCACGAGTGCTGACAGTTAGTATTCCCATTTGGCTACAATGGCTATGTTAGAGCTCACGGAGTGACATGAAACAAAAAATCACTTTTCTTCCTGCTGTCGCTAGTTTGCTAACAAATAAGAGTGACTATCAAGAGCATGCTAATTTTTCAACAACAGAGACACACGCAGCAGCGCTGAGATATAGGCTGAATATAATGACAAAAAGCGCATTGCAGGAATGGAGCAAGTAGAGGGTATCGGTGGCATTATGGAAAAGCTGCAGCAGCGTTATTTGTGACTGAGAATATTTTTGGGCCATTAATGACTTGACGCCGTGCAAAAAAGAGGAATAGTGAACTTTGGCACAGTTGGCACTAGCTGTACTCGAATTTGCGCAGCAAGGCGCAGGGATATAGAATTGTAGCAAAATGGCACAATAAGCTAAGCTGAATCACCACCGCTATTTGCGACTGTGACAGAAATATTGTAATTTTAGCTGTTCTTGTAAAGTGGCTCAATGAATATGTTAGACTTGCCACGAAGGTGTGCACCATACAAAAAAAAAAATTGGGCATCCAAATAAGTCCAAGGGTGCAACAGCCAAAATACAATTTGGAGCAACTTTTGGAGCACTAAATCTATAATTGGAGCAGGATACGGGGGGGGGGGAAATACATTTTTCTTATTATGAAATACCTGATTTGGAGCAGTTTAAAAAATAAGGCTTACATTTAGAAAACAATACGTATAAACTATTCAACATCCTCTAAATCGTGCAGTGTGGACATGAGCACTGAATAAAAGTGGTATTTTGAATCACCCGACTGAGCATACAATTATTAACTCCATATTAGAATTTACAGTGCCTGTCAAATCATTTGACAGACACTGCTAATTTAAATATGAAAAAAAAATAGAGCACAATTTAGTTTGCTTTTAGGGAAGCATAAATGTATTACACTGCTCCAAACAATCGCCAGTACCTTATTTAGACGTCATTGATTATACTGGTACTCAGAATTATGCGGCATACAAACGCACGAGTAACTGAACAAAATGTGCAGAGTCCCGTGACTAGCGCTAACAGACCCTTCCAAACCTGAATACGCCTTTTCGAAGGGCACCGGTGTATTGCAGCAAAGATGGCTTCAGCAGCATCCTTTGCATGGGTTGGAATCCCAAGCCAAGAACTTTTCAAACCACCACACCTCCCCCCCCCACCCCCTATAGACACACACACACACATTTCCCACCTTTTTTTTTTTTGTTCTTCCATCATGGGGTTAGGTGCGGCTTTGGCTCTAATGGAAAGCATGTTCGCCCAGGTAAAGTAACAACAGCATGCACCCATTGGCCTAGCGACGGTACCGGACATTCTCGCCAGTACGATGCAAATTCACGACAAAAAAAAAAACAGATGTTTATGTGCCACTGCTAAGTCATCTGACGTGGTCGCCGGCAAGGCCGGCGTTCGCAACAGGTCGAGCTTGTTCATGTGAGGAAAATGCGGCATACGCTTCCAGCTTTATTTCCTAACAAGCAATAGCAGTGTTTTCAGGCTAGGAAATTTACGTTCCCCCGAAACGTTGGTGGCTACAGCAACACATTTTTGTCTTGAAGTTCCGTCGTCCCGCCGATAGGCATCCGATGTGGTCGGCGGACCCATGGGCGCGCAGCGCTGTTACTTTATGCGGTCGATCGCGTCTCGCAAGCGTAGGGCGGGTGCCTAGAATATTTTAAGTATATTCTAGGCACTATAGTTAGCGTCTATGCACTTTGATTGATGATGCAAACTGCAGCTGGCCAACGTGGCCTGCATTTCTCGCAGAAATTAGTGCACCTGAGAAAATTTTGAGGCAGGCTAAGCATTTTGGCTTAGTGTGGCACAATTTCAGCAAATTTCACAGCTGTGGCTCAGCTTGGGACAACAATCGGGAATTGTATCAAATTGGCACAATTGGTGCAGCCGTTGCACCCCTGTAAGTCACTGAACCATGAAGCGGAAGTATCTCAAAGAAAAAAGTTGCAAAAAAAAAAGTTAATGCGTCACACAATTTGAACTGAGGACTTTGCAGGCATAAATGCAAAGCATTAGCATATTTCCCCCAAACACCAAAAGATAACAAGCCTATTATGGTCAATGTATAATTACTGTGTTGACTGCTCTTTCCACATTACTATGGTATGGTTGCCAATATGATGGGTTGTCTCTCTATAAGCACTGTCAAAAGAAAAAAAGTAAAAAAAAAAACATTTCATCCTGTTCTATATGTGAAGTTTCAACAGACCTGTCAAGCACCTCCCAAAAGTTGAGTAAGTTGGCTCTGTCAAGGTGGCGTTTCTGCTTGCTCAGCTGGATCACGTGCACTGCCCACTTGGCCACATTGCTGTCCAGAGTGATCTCATCCCACTTGAGATGGAATGCCTTAACTGCACAATCATGACACGAAGGGCTGCACTACAGGAATGAAATTCGTGGTCAGCACAGATGTCATAAACGAATTTACACTGCTTAACATTATCCTCAAGGACGTTACAAGAGAAACATTCCAGGTATGAAGACAAGTTCGGAAAAAGAAACTATTTTTTTTAGATATGAACGATGAGAGATGGCAAGCTTATCTTATAAAGCACATGTTCCTGGGCAAATCGGAATTGTGCAAAATATATTGGATCAGCATGCATTAAAACATTATAATTCAGCTCTCAGTGATTAGGAAACTAATTTCGATCATCCCATGTGGTACAGGCTGTTTCACACTTAAGTCAAATGTCGAAGCGCGTGCGCAGATAATTGAGGAGCGTAGTTTTGAACCACACCGTCTGCCATGGTGGCTCTTGCTTGCCGCATTGCTGGCCAGCACGCGGATATCATTGTTAGTGCAGGAACTGGGTCGATAATTTGCACTAATTGTTGCACGACGCCATTGTTTACGATAATGGGGTGCTACAAGCAAAATTTGACAGCATACCTTGTTTGCACTCTTCGAACGCCGCGGTGCTGTGTGCGTTCATGAATGTTTCTTTTGTATGTGTGCACCACAGTACACTTGGACAAGGAAGACAGCCCAATTAGCATGCAATATGCATTGTCTTGATTTGAATTTGAATAAAAAAAAAAGCACTCAACAGTAAGAGTTGAACTGGTGCGCTGGCTTAACACGACAAAACAAATGGGAACAAATTCAGGAATGCTTTAGGCGAGAACAAAGCTTGAACGTATCCCTTTACGACAACACTTCATTACTACAAGACTCGCTAGCCGGCTCCGAAATATTGTGTAGTTTTCACAACATAGTTCAATAATCTTAAGTCACTTTTTTTTGGTATACGGTACGTGGTAAACCTGGCAAACAACGCAGTACTGCTCTTTTCAGACAAGAAAAATAGAAAAATTTACGGCAGAGCAGCAGCTGTTTATTCAGCTCAATCTGGATCTTGTTATGCCACACCCCCATCGACAATGGATGGGGCATGCTGCAGCAAAACACATCGCTGACACCATGCATTCACTGCCGTCTAGAACGAGCACTTTATGAACTAGGAAGTGTCACGAGTGCATTTCGGTGCCGGGAGCCGATCCTTTCTGTTGTGATCAAATATCGTCGATAATCAAGCTCAGGTGGTTATTCTATGCTTAATCATTGCTGAATTCATTTCCATTTGTTCTGTTGTGTTAAAACCACTCATCTGCTCACCAGTCAAAGCTGAGTACTTTGTTTTATTTAAAGTCAAATAGAGACAATGCACGGTGCATGCTCATTATCATGTCTTCATCATTCAAGCTTACTGCGACGCGCACACAATGAAGAAACATTAGTGAATGCACGCAGTGCCACGGTGTTTCGATAGAGCAAACAAGGTATGTTGTCAAATACTGTTTTTAGTGTCCCATTATCACGAATAAAGGCGAGAGGTTGGCATTATACAACATTTTGTGCAGACAAGCGTTGAAAGTTGGGCAAGTTGGTACGAGAACATCTGAAAAAAAAAAAATTAAACTCTGCTGCAAGGGGGCACACGAAGAAAGAAAACTCGAGAGTTTGTCATTCCTTGTTTTTTCTTATCTCATCTTGTGGCGCAGATTTTTCTGAAAATGATTAGTGCAGAGTATCGGCCCAGTTCCCCCATTAACAACGATATCCGTGCACTGACCAACAATGCGACACATGCTGTCGCAGACGACGCGGCTTAACTCCTAACCCTTGAAGCATCTGCGCACGCGTGAGCTGCTGCCGGCGCACGATTGCAGCGTTAGTTGCATCCCGATGCCAAGAGCTCCGAGATTTCCTCTAAGTATGAAACAGCCTGTACATTAGCCTATGACACAGAGCTCGCGTTGATTCACAAAAACTAGACAGTGCTTAGGTGGATTCGGCTAGTTGGCTGAGCCCAGAGGCACATGATGCAAATAATCTGCTCAGGGCTGCCCGAATCATACCTCTAAGTAGCATATGCCCATCTCAAAGCCATGCTTGCATGCGTTATAGGGCCCTTCACCAGGTGACACTAGAAATTCTAGTTTGACGCTGAAAGCTGTGTGACTGATGAAGCACATTATGCCACAGCAATTTTTTTTCAATTGATCCATTACGAGCTGAGAAAACAAATTATTTTGAAGCGGCACGAAACAATGATGCAAGAAGGCCAACTCAGCCCCACGTAGTTTTCGCGAACCAAATCTCTTCCCTGCACCTCTTGAGCATCTGAGCGAGAAGATGCCATAATGCATACAACACGTCATGCGCACATCAGGTCACATGCGTATGTTGTGCCCAAGCCCCTGCACATGCGAGCGATATTTTAGTACTGTGCCACCATTCTCCGTGGTCTACTGCCTCTTACGGGCACGAGAGCCACGATATCATGAGGCAGTACTGCATTAACATGTAGTTAGATGCAGTAGAACAAAGGAGCATAATGAGTGCTTGAATGTGCTAGAAAATTACTGTCCTTGTCAGGGCTGGCATCTTCTCAACACGCAAACCGTGAGAACACTAACGCATGTGAAACGGAGGCAGATTAGCTACGCATCTTGCTGTAATACACAGCAAACAAACAAACAAAAACCATGCATAGATCCCATCTGTGTGTCTTTTATTTCTCTGCAACATCATTCATTTATTCAAGCCACAAGTTGCACAAAGTACACACCACGTCGCGTCACATAGTTATTGCAGTGTCACATGCTAGTATGCCTGACATTAGCACATCTGTTTACATAGAGGAGATCCATCAAAGCACTGCCAACTATGTAGGGCCATTTCTTGTCGTACGTCGTCCCCTACTTCCTTGAGCACACACCCGTGAGACGAAAGGCAAGCAGCGTTTAGCTTGAAATCTGCCCCATTTCCACGGTGCGGAGCATCAAGTTTTGGCAGACATGATCGTGAATGCCCAGTCTAAGCATTGCACTCATCAGCTCAAAATGGTCAAACCTCGTGTGAGGCCCTTTAAGAGTACTGGAAACACATCTAGGCTACCGTGTAAATTTGTTACTGCAGAAAACCTCATTTACTTTTACCTGTTCTAGGACCCAGCAAACATGTGCGTTGTTTATTGGCAAATGTCTTCACAAAATGCAGCACAAAAATATGAAATTTTTTATTGCTGAAATAATTCCTTCAGATAATTCAATTTCAGAAAAAAGCCATCGAAAATCTTGTTTGCATCCCCTTAAAGTGACAAAAAAAATCATTTTTTGTTGTTACATATACATGATGAGGTATCATCAAACAAAATTCTATAAAAAAAGATGTGATTTTTTTATAAACCAAAATTATACATACTACTAAACAAAGCTCAGAGAGATACAAAAATAAGAACGCCACAGTACTTTTCTAGCAACAAAATGTTTTTACTCTAATACTAAACACTATGGAATAGTCACCTCTGATCCAATCCTAATTGTCTGGCTGTGCATGCTTTCAAGATGTCGCTCCTTCACCATTATCACAGTCTAACTCTCGCAATTAAATACTAATGAATTAGATTAGGCACTTGCGGAATAGTTCCCATAAAAAAAGCACCACTCGACTCTCTATCACCAGAGCAACTGGCGTGCACCTCTGTGGCGTAACAGAACTACACAAGTGAGTGCACGGAAAAAAACAGTGTACCCGTCCGAAAGCAAAATGAGTGAAAAGGCTATTATACTTATTCGCCTTATCACGAACAAGATGGTTACTTTTTCTGAGTCCCTGAAACAGAAAACGCAAACATGGCGATGTCGTTTGCGTAATGTAGCGCTGCGTGGAAACAGCTATAATCGTGTTCCGGGGAGCAGTAAATGAGAGTCACGTGCGATCACCCTTTGAGCCATTATAAACCCCACAGCCACCAGCTTTGCAGGTGCAAGGAACAATCAGAATCTGAAGGACAAAACTGAAACCAGCCCCCTCGTGTGCGCGCATTCAGATATGCAAGGGAAAGCCACCGAGCTGTTTTTGAAAGCTTGAAGGGCCCGTAAACCACCGAGAGGCCGAAATTCAGTTGTGGTGGGGAAATGGTACAAATGTACGATGAACACAGAGCCGTGAGAATGTTTCAAAACGGTGCCGTAATAGCGGAGTTAAGGCTGGTGCACACCGGCAACTAGCAGCGGTCGCCCGACCATTTGCGACTGGCGACCAAGAAGTGACTGATGTTCACCCCGGAAGAGGCTGCATGCGAGCGACCGGAAGTCGCAAACTCGGAGAGTCACATCCGGATCTCATTATCAGCGAGAACTCTGGAGAGCGCTGTTGATCAGCTGATCGCCGCTAACTGAGTGAGCGGAGCGAACTGAGCGTGCCGCATTTATTGTTTTCGTCCGTTCTCACACAGCGTTCCCAGCAGCGTCAAGGAGCTCCATTCAAGCAAAGAACAAGAGATTGTCATGGCGCTGATGTACTATGCCATGGTGTCAGCGCTGGCAGCACGGAAGCCTCCAAAGAAAAATTGGCATTAATCTACATGTTACACTATAAATGTTGTCGAAAGACGATAGTTTTGCGTCTGGAGAGAGTGAACAAAATGTTTATTTGATGTACTGCGCAAGAAAATCGGTGAATGGTATTCTGAAGGCGCTACGCTAGAGTGCCTCGAGCATGTAACGGAGGTGAACAACCGCATCTAGGCACGTTATGCACGAGCGCGATCTCGCAGTTATCTTCGAAAACGATGGCGTGCGCGACCGCGGAGAAAGATGCGTGCCAGTCACGGAGGTGATAAGGTGTAGAATACAAAGCGACGGACAGGTGCCACTACCGTGCCGTTGTAGTAAAGCGATGGAAACACCTTCTTGAGCATCGCAATGCACTGTCAGCGCAGCGCGTTAAACGCTACAGTCCTTTGAGTTACTTGTGTGTGCCTCTTCTAGTATAAAGGCAGATATACAAAACATAGACATGTTGTTATGGCGCCTCAGATATGCAAAATATTTGCTTTTT